CAATTGGTGGCTGACTAAATACTTTTTTGCCCCACTGTAATTATCCTAGACAGATGTATTGGGGGGATTTTTTTCAGGATATTCTCTCTCAGTCAGACCCATTATCAGACTTGATCTTTTGCTCGCATCTCCCCACACACTAAATTTGATTCCAGGCTATCCAGGTTTTGGAGAATTATCCCAACATTCCTTTGGGTTGGAAAGAAAAATTGGCTTGGAATAGATCCATAAAATCAGTTTCAACCAAGATACTCTGGATCCAATTGTCTACTATACACTCAAAAATCTTGACAAAGTTGAGACAAGCTTTTGTCTTTTTGCTGGCAGCTTCAAGGCATTATACGTGTTGCACACCACAGAATAGCATAGCTCCCTCCTTGACAGATGCAACGAGCCATCTTAGCAAAAATCAAGCAAATAGTGGTTGATGATACTTGATCAGTCAGACTGTAAAAACTGAGCATTCTCAATATCTGCTCAGATCATGCACCATGCACATACAGAGATTAAACTATAGAGATTATTTTGCTGAAATCACATATTTGGAAAGATTTTCTTCTCGCTTAGAATATAAGTAAACATGTCACAGAATGTTGCCAAGATTCAATTAGATCCTTTCCTGAACCAGAACTTGGAATAGTGTAGAGTAGATCTTCAGGCACTCAACAACGCTCCACTAGATGCCACTGAAAGAACATAATGATCAAGGAGAAAAAAAACACCTCCATTCACTCTGACTGCTACAGAGTTGATAATGAGTTCTTACTTATGTTCCTCCTGCATCCACCAATTTTTCAGCTTGCTTCATTACCCTCATCAGAATATTCTAGGCTTTGCAACACAGGAGAGTGTACTCTGTATCATGCCCCAAATCCAAAGGCACCCACCACTCTAGGCAGAAGATTCCACAGACCCATCAGAAGTACATTAGAATTCAGAAACTTCTGAATGTGGAGAAGAATCAACCTACTTGGTCCCCCAAAGATACCGAGAGGAATTGTTCCTTTTTTTTTTAATGGCTCCATGTAGCAACTTCTCTTTTCTAAGAGGTTTTAATTAAGAATGCTGAAGTGTTTTAATTACCAGTAGAGGGTTGGACGCAGAGGTATAGAGTGTGGGACTGTGAGACAGGGTTTTTGAAGATTGATGTGTGTTGGAATGATCTGGATGGAAGAAATGGACTGAGGAAGCTGGAAGAGGGTGGCTGGTGTGGGTCTTCCGGGCTGTG